CCTCCTGTCGAAACTCTCGGACTGAGAATGCAGTGCAAAGTGGCTGGAGGGAAAAGAGCCTAGGATCAGAGCGACGCTTCCGTTCACTGGCACCTCCAGCGGCTGTGTCCTCCTCTACGCAAGCCCTAGATCTGAGACCTGCAGCCCCGTTCTTCCTCGGCTGACATCCCGTTTCCCAGCCCAACCGTCCTCTTAAGTAAAACCTGAAATCTCTTTTAATTGGTCTCCACCCCCCAGCTCGAGGCTACCGGGTATTAACTGTCTATCATCTAGCTTCTGGAATATGACTTGACCTTACTTCTGGCCTTGAGTGTTTTTCAGATTCAGCTGAGCCCGACTCCAGTGAAGATGGATAGGGGGCTCTCTTGGTCCTGGCAATATGTCCCCTGATCAACAGGGCTCCAGGTATGATTTTTGTGGGACACCAGGAGTCACGGAATAAACTGGGCTCCTGAACACCCCGTGGGACATTCTCTCCCCTCAGTATAATCTCCCCCGATTCCCAGGCTATGGCAGTGACATGCTGAAGGAGGCCTGGATTGAGAAGTCTCTATAATGCAGGGAATAGAGTCCTGAACCTGCCATCACAAAGCCTGCCCTTCGTGGGGCAGCTTGGAAGCCCGAACAGCCAATCTGTCCTCTCATCCTGAGACAATGGCTTGTTTGGCTAGATTCATAGCCACTGGCCCCAAACAAGCTGAGCTCTGGTGTGGGAGGAGGAAGCGGGAGATGGTCCTCGTCTCACAATGAATTTCTTGACATTCTGTCTGGGGAAGCCATTAATAGGTGACTTGAAGTCAATACGTTACTAGTCTCTGGAGAGTGCTGATGAATGCACTGCAATTTTTATTTTTATGATAAGTATCTGGAGTAAATCAGCTAGGATCTCCCAGACTATTAGATTCCGTACTTTTGATGACAAAGGGAGAAGAGAGGGGAACATACTATCATTTTTGGCTGATTAAAGGGGAGAGAAATCTGGTGCTTTTTTTTAAAAAAAGGGGGGAAAAATCATTAAAATAATTTAAAGCTATTAATCCACTGAGAATCAGAACACAGTCCAAAGCTTGTCATTGCGTTAATAACAGTTGGCGATTCCTTTCAGACATAGCTTTTGTGAGGTCATTTTTTGAGGCCAGTGGTGAAAAGCTTCATAGTCACAGAGCAACATTTGGCAATAAATTAGTTCAGCTTGTTCCCACATGGTCCAAAAGTCTTCATTTGTTCCATCCTGCAAACAAACTGCCATTTGCTTCAAGCGGGGAAAAATAAGTGATTTTCTTTTGCACATTTTGACAATTTAATTTTTAGCATGCTTATATGTTCATCTCTCTCTTTGTTTTAATGTCACTATTCTTTTCCTTGTTTGGTTTTAGTCTGTGTAAAGGAAAAAAAAATGCATTTTTAGCTTCTAACAGAAAGAGCCAAATTTGCTCAAGGCAACAGCAATACAGGACAAAAGAAAAGGCACGTGACAACACATGTAGGGCTATATCACCGATAGTGAGACTGAGTGAGGCTGAGGAAAAACCTCTTCCTAAGCCTGAGGTGGGTGATGGCACTTCAGATCACGATAATCTTATGATGCCGCTGTTGGAGACGTGGGCATGGAATTGGTGACTACATCCTCCCTTATTCTTATGATACTAGATTGAAATGAAGAATTAACCAGCTTTGCCTGGCTGGCATGGCTCAGTGGTTGAGCGTCGACCTATGAACCAGGAGGTTACGGTTCGATTCTGGTTGGGGCACATGCGGGCTCAGTCCCCAGTAGAGCATGTGCAGGAGGCAGCTGATCAATGATTCTCTTTCATCATTGATGTTTCTATCTCTCTCTCTCTTTCTCCCTTCTCTAGAGAGAGAGAGAGAGAGAGAGAGAGAGAGGAAGAGAGAGAGAATTGACCAGTTTTAACTAGAGTATGCAACAAAGGTGCTATCGGTGATATAGCCCTACTAAAAAAGCATCAAGTTAGGAAGGCAAAAAAAGAACCCCAACCAGAGCTATGGGAAATGAAACCTGGATTGCTAACATGTGCAAAGATATCCCCCTCTGGGTGTCCTCTGCTGAAGCAGTGCAGTGCAGTGGTGGCTGGGGTGGTAGTAGGAGTCGGGATAATGATGATGTGATAGGCCCCATACTAAGAGTTTTACACACATGAACTAATTTAACCCTCTGAGGCAGGTGATGTTATCTTCATTTTAAAGATGAGAAAATTGAGACTTCAAGAGAGGAAGTCACTTTGCAAAGGTCACACAGCTTTCTGACACAGGAGACGCACCGGAGCCTTTGCCCTGTAGTGCTACCCGGCTGCCAGTAGGGGCACACTGGCTCCCCACTTGCTAGTTATATGACCTTAGGCAAGTTATCCAACCTAAGTACCCATTCTGTAAATGGGTTGGTTCCTGCATTTAAATGAGATAGCTCATTTAGAACATTTATGATACCAGAAAAGAATAAATATTTAATAAAGTGTTCTGTTATTAAAATAAGAGAAATTAGTGAAGAATTAAATAACTAATAGAAGTTTTACTTGGGTTTGGTGAGAGAGAGAGAGATAGAGAGAGAGAGAACATGTTTCCTATTCCTTTTTAGTATTACCTCTTGGGCATAAAGTTGGCTACACATATGATGACAATGAACAGGGCTTTACATTTTTCAAAGTGCTTAAGTGAATGACCCAATTTGATCTTTAAAACAGTCTCTAATACTTGTCAGCCAACAGGCTTAGAGAAGTGAAGTCATATGCTGGCCACACAGTTGACAGCAGAAGCTGAATCCAGATCTGAACCCATGAGAGTGAGTTCAATTCGTATCCTTTGATGTTGAGCCAGCTAATTGCTGTCAGTAATGCATAGTTGATTTTGGGTTTTCTAAGTCTATGATCAAACCACCTGCACTGATTGCTGCTGATATTCTTCCCTTTCACAGTTTATGACTAGCATTTATTCTTTACCTAAACCTTACAGGCAGTGGCTGTAGTGCAGTATTGAACAGAGACTTACCCTTTTGCACCTTTGTTAACACTTCTCGTGTTGTTCCCTCTGTATGTCCACCTCCCAATGCTTGGATGTGGCCCCTGCCTGTCCTATCCAGCCATCAGAGAGGATTCAAATGTTACCTCTGCTGTCAAAAGTTCTCTCTGAGCTTCCCAGTTAGAGTAATCTCTCTTTACCCTAAACCAGCGGTTCTCAACTGGGGGGCGATTTTACTCCCCTCTCCCCCGGCGCGGGAACATTTGGCAATGTTTGAAGTCATTTTTGGTTGCATAACTGGTGCAGAGGGTGTACGGGCATCTAATGTGTGAAGGCCAGTAGGGATGCTGCTAAATACTCTATGAGGCACAAAACAGCCCCCTACGAAGAGGGAGTATCCAGCCTAAAACATCAGCAGTGCTGAGGTTGAGAAACCCTGTTCTAAACTAAAACTTAAGGCCTTAATGATACGTATTATTTCCTGCTTTTAAAAAACATTCAACTGTATTGTTTGAGGGCAGAGATTCTGTCTTTATTAGTCATCTTTTTACCATGAATGTTCACGATAATTAGGCAAGTCTCCCTTTACATCCGTCTGTATCGCTTCATCAAATACCTTAGATTAATTTAAACATTAATTGACCATTAATGACAAACAATGGTATATTTTAGGTAAAACGATTTAAAGTTTCCTGAAGACATTACATAACTGAGAAAGATGATGTAGGACCTAAGGTTTTTAACTTATAAAATGCGGGCATGGCTCCTTCTTACTTCCGATTCCAGACAACTCCCCCAAATGATCGCACAAACCATCATATATTTAAGAAATATAGAAAAAGAATATAGGTGACAAGATGCAGTTCACGTATGAATAGAATTTGGGAAAACACTTTAACCATGAAAAATGTGACAATGTTGACTACAAACTCTAGTAGCAGAATCCAAGGAGGGAGGAAGAGAAACAGTGCCAGCGCTGTCCCAACACTCGCTCCCGGGAGACACGATCAGAGAAAACCAAGGCTCAACATAGCCACGCTGGTGTCCCGGCCAACGCTCACCTTCTACAAGCAAACGTGATCTCCTCGGAAGCAAGTGGACATTGCTTTATTTCAAGCACCTAAAGGATCATATTCATTATCACGCGTCAGCAGCAATTCAGACAGGAGTTTGTCAAGGAAGAAAACGGGAATCTCCAAAGTCTTCTCACCAATGGCATTTCCAACAAGAGGTGGAAGATAGAATCAAAGATGATGGCTTTGCTAGTAACAAATCTGTCCTACACCAGGCAGGCTACTGTCATTTCCCACCAACAGCTGTATTTCTCAATGACATTTTATAAAAGAGCAATGTTCCATGTTATGTTTGGAGAGAACTAACTGCAAACCAGGTAGCTACTGGTACATCTGAATTGTGTGTGTGTGGTTTTCTTTTATTTTGTTTTGTTAATCCTCACCCAAGGATATTTTTTCCATTGATTTTTAGAGAGAGTGGAAGGAAAGGAGGGAGGGGAGGGGGGAGGAGAGAGAAACATTGATGTGAGAGAGACACATGGATGGGTTGCCTCCCGCACATGGTCTGACCAGGGCCAGGGATCGAACTTGCAACCCAGGTATGTGCCCTTGACCAGGAATGGAATTTGTGACCCTCCTGGTCCGAGGGCCAACACTCTAACCACTTAACACTGGCCAGGGTGTGTTTTTTACTTTTTCATGTATACTTTCATAGGACAATCTAACAAAATACATCCTTTGAAATAAAATATATTGGATTTTATTATGCTCGTAAAAATTTCATAAAATTCATAATCACAATACTATAAAATAATAATTTGCTGTGGTCAATAGTATGGGGAGTGGGTGTAATGAAGATGGAAGTATTTCCCATGGAAGAGCAAACGGCACCTCCAAGATGATATCATTTCAGTAATTTGTTCCCAGTTTCCAAAGCACATATTTTTTATGGATAGCATTATTTACTTCCTGATCAAGCAGTGCTGTAATGACTTGAATTGAAGAATTACTTACCTAGTACATCGGAGGCTCTCAAATTTTCTTTCAGAAACATAGCAGAAATAAAGGCACTACCTAGAAAGACAATGACCGTTAGTGGTGTTTCCAATATAAAAACATATATTACGCAATGGCATTTGAAAGAAGTTAATCAGTTCGTGTCCTAAGCTGGCTAGCTGTGTCCTGGTCAGAGACACCCAGCGGCTGTGGCTGTAAAATAACTTCTTTCCTGCTCATGGTTCAGGATACATGGAAAGTAGCCTGGCTCACAATGGCCCTGGGACCGTGATTGGGATGGTGCCCCATGGACAGTGAGGGCTTAATAACTGAATGGGTGAATGGAAAGGAAGAGAGGGAGGGAGGGAGGGAGGGAGGAACTGTGACACCAGTGTTGCTATGGAAAGGCAGAAAGAGACAGAAGGGAAGGAAAGAAAGGAAGGGTGGAAAGAAGGAAGTCTTAACTTCATATCCCAAATGGAAACTCATTCTTTCCCATCACCTCCTCCTCTAATCCTCACTCCTATGATGCCTCTGTCGAGCACCAGAATCCTAGGACCCCGCCTGGCTGCCCCCCTCACACCACACATCCAACAGGCCACTGGGCCTGTTAAAGCTGCGTCTCTCTCTCTCTCAAACCCACCCTCTCCTCTGCATTTCACTGTCACTGTCCCAGCTCAGGCAGCTTCACCCTGGCTCAGGCCACTATAACAGTTTTCACTGGGGCCTCCCATCTCATGACCCCTCCCCCTTAGCACCACCAGAGTCATCTTCTAAAATGCCAATCTCATGTCAAGCCACAGCTTATCAACCTCTTCAGTAGCTTCTTCTCGTTTTCAGGGGAGGGGCAGCCATGCAGAGACAGCCGGCCATGCTTTTGCTCCTGCCACTTTCCTTGCCGCATCTGCCCTTGACCTCTGTTATATTCCATACCCAGTCTTACAAAAACAGTCCTAATTCCCAGCACCGCCCGTTAGCTTCATGCTGAAGGATTGCTATTTGTGCCATTCCCTATGCAACTCGGCCTCCATCCTCTCGAGCACCTCGAGACTAAAGCATAACCTCTGCCCCCCCAAGTCCCCACCACCAGGTTGACCACTCCACCCTTATGGGTGTCACCCCTTGTAGCAGAGCTTTTCACCACACCTACTAGTAAGATCTGCGTGTCTCCCCTAAAACTATCCATCCTCTTGCCTCTGAGGTATAGCCTATTCTCCTAAGATCTCCAGTGTGTGGTTCGTGCCTAGCACATAAGTAAAGTGTTTGCGGATCTCCGTCCGGCACTAGCTGGCCCTGGTGATGTGTAAGGCCCTCTTTCCCATTGCCGATGCTACTGAGTCCGCAGCCTCGTAACTGAGCCACGGCCTCTGCCACAGCTCAGCTATGTGGGCAAGTTGCTTCTTCCCACATTGTTCCTCCTATGGAGCCATTCCTCCACAGGGGGGTGGGGGGGATGGGAAAAGGCAAACTTGCAATGATACAAAGCAAAGACACACAACATGATCTGTATTTTAGATTAAAAAAATTATTAGCCGAGTTGTTGTTATTTAAAGTAAATATACAGGGGAAAAGTCATTATAAAACAATTTCATCATTTAGAGAAAACTGCAGTTAGTGTGTGTATTTTCCTTAATTGAGATAAACTATAATGCAAATTTTCTTCTCTTGGTTTCCTCAGTTACTATATTACGCACCATTTGCCGTGCCATTAAAAATTCTTCATAGATACCATTTTAATGAGTCTGTATAAAAATCCATTAAATCATGTTAATTTGAATATATCTGATATTCTGGCAATTGATTTAAAACAAAATAACAATTCTACACCAGAAACACTCATTCAAGGTAAACTGGGATCCTCATAGGTTCTCTCCATCTTTTTCTCAACCTAGCTCTCTCTCATTCACGTTGAGCTACGTCCTTACAAACTTTTCCTGTTTACAGGAATGAACGATTCACACAGAATAAACAGAGCATGGGGGCTGTCCACCAGGCATGAGTTTAATTGTGTGGCATGGCTTTAAAACATGAAAAAAACATTCTGCACACAAATTCATCTACAGATACATAGCCCATTACATTAAGAATTGAGTTTGGGGCAGATTGACAATGTCTGAAAATCTTGTTTCAGGTTTGAACCAACATAATTCAGGTCAACTAATTTCACATGTTAGAGAATTAGAAAAGGTATAAAAACCAAGACCCCACTTCCACCCCCATCACGGACTTCCTGTGTAATAAGGTAAGGAATGTTCCCAAGCAGAGGGAGACAGATTAACAATAAAAAAACCAGGCAAAGTATCCCTATGCTAACACGCACACACAATACATTCCACTGTAACAACAGATGACGATTTCATAGCAAAGAGGCCAGTAAGAAGGGAGACACTGCTGACATGGAACGGGGGAATTCTAGAGCTACTAGGAGACAGAGATAATCTACTCCAGGGCCTAGGTGTTGTAATTGGGAAACTGAGGCCCAAAAAGAGGTTGTTTATTCATCGATCTGTTCAGCTAACAAACATTTATATCGCAGCAGAAGTGGAAGCAGCGCCCATGTCTCCTTATCCTAGTCCAGAGCTCTTCCTAGTAAACTACACGCCGTTGCTCCCTTGAAGTAAGAAAAGCATCATTTCCCTTCTCTTTTTGTTGCTAAGCCACAGTTTCATAAATACGTTCACTTTCGGAGGAATTGGGGGAAATGTTATATAGGAGATAATTTCATTGCAAAACGCAAAAAAAGGATATGATTGGTAACAATAAGCTTGAACTACACTAATGCATCAAATCATATAAATTGCTGTGAAAATAGTTATGTTTTATGAAATGTAAATATGCTATTTTTTACTTTCTGAAAAGAAAATTATGTCTGATGCACTTATATACTCATTTTTCTGTTTTAAGAGAATGAGATTTTCTATAAAATTTTTACATAAGAGAATAAAAAGATTTTAAGTTTTATTTATCTAGCAAAGAAAGCAATAAGAGGAACATTCTATTAAGATACATTTACTTGTAACTCATTTACCCTGAAAAACATTGTTAAAATGAGAGCAGGGCAGAGCAAAAACAGTATCGGAACAGCAGCTAATCACACGACTTCCAAGTAGAGTAGTAAGTGTTTAAGATGAGGAAAAAATAAACTAAAAGTGCTCCCGTATACATTGGCAATCAGAGATCTGTCTAGTTGTGGCTATAACCATGACCACTGTGCAATGGACACTTAGAAAGGGGGAAAACCTATTACACTTTTATTCCTCTAGTAAAATCCAATATTCAACAGAAAAAAATGTTGAGATCAAAAGCATGAAAACAGAACACACTTGTAAATGAAACAGATCTGTGCTGGGTATAGGTACCTCTGAGCACGCACACTGTTGGGTACATTTTGGACTACATGCATATTTGGGCAGAGGTTCGTTCTGGCTTTCGTAGGACACGGGTCTACACAGAGAACGCTCCCGGCTACTGGTGTCCACAGAGCGCTCGCAGACACAGGTCTACATGAGTGTGCACAGACGCTGGGGTTAAATTCATTGCACCATGTCACACTGTGACTCCAGAGGTAGACACTGGACTACAAATGACCATAACACATTAAAAAACGTGAAAAGCAGCATATGAAGTGGTTCTGTAGGAATTACGAGGGGAAAAGATAGCAGGAATATTATCCATTGGGGAAAGGACAAAAAACACACACACACAAAGCTAAAGTATTCTCTCTGGCTCAAATAGTGCTCCGTGGGGGAAGTTTAGTCATATAGTCACTTGTCCTCGACCATAGAGCTTCATGGCCACGAAGAATCTTAGCAACTGTTACAATGGACTGACTCCTATTGTTGAGTCATCTATTCTCTCTTCAGCCGTTAAGTGTCACTCAGGTTAGCAATCGGAATGCAGATGCTTTCTGGTCAAGGCTGACAAAGGAAACTTACACATGGGCATTCTGATTGGGATTTCCAGGTGAAGACAGATAAAGGCCAAGCAAGATTCTGGTGGCTGCAGCTGAACCAAGTCTAGATGTGGGGGACCGTTCCAGTCCCAGGTATAGGGATGTGTCCTGGTATTGAGCTCTCTAATACTTCCTGGTATGCTTAGGAACAAACCCTCTATTTGTTCTTCATTCACCTCCTCTCTGACGTCACTTAGACTTGTTCTAAAACCTGGTTGTTATTATGGAAGAGTTACTTAGCTTCATGTGGCCAAGATCTGGTGCTCTAAGATCCACAGCAGGCCACAAGTGAGAGGAATAAACCAACAAGCATACCTTAGTTTGGTGCAGGAGTTCAGATAGGTTGTACTAACTTGATTTGGATTTCTTCTGTGATAGCTACTAAGGACCAAAAGTTAGGCATCAGTTTTCTGTTACACAGGACAAGGGTCTCAAGGTCATGGGGGTTCTTAATGCTATTCTTGCTAGATGTTAAAAAACGCACAGTATTTTGCAGCTGCAGCTGCAATGGGATGAGCTTGACCAAAACCATAACTAGATAAGTTTAGCCAACTGCAAAGAAGAAATTGACAGCAATCAACCAAACAGTGTACATAAGCAATGGCTAAGCCTCCCTTTGGGAAGGCAGAGCTTTGGATGTGAGTTTTACCTGCTGCCAGAATAAAACTAATGGCAACCGTGTCTTGTCCTTGAATAAGAACATCCCAAGTGGCAAACCCCTTGAGTTTGGTAACATTTCTGTAAGATAGCAATTAAGACCCAGGGTAGATTTTTACATATCATTTTTGATTTTTGCGTCTGTAGAGTGATAGGTAAATGGCACTCCCTTTTTCAATTTGCAACACTGAATTATCTGTGTACATTTGACTTACATTATCTACCCCTCCAAATAATAATTTTTTTTATTAAAGATTTAATAGCACAGGAGAAAGCTCAATAACTATTTAAATGTGTTATAGTATGGCTATTTAAAACAAGATTTTAATCCGAGTGGATTAAAAAACTGTGGTACATCTAGGTACACAATGGAATACTACACTGTTGTGAAAAAGAAGGAACACCTACCATTTGCAACAGCAGGGATGGACCTGGAGGGCATTATGCTAAGCGAAATAAGCCAGTCAGA